TAAAAAAGAAAACGAATTTAAATATAGAAGAAACATCAAAATTTGATCTTCTTCAAATTGGTTATTTTGCTACATTATGTGAAATTACACATCTTGAAAATGTTATTGATGCATTTGGTGAAAAGAAAAAATTCATGGAAGAACTTGTTGATGATTCACCGTTAGATGCAGAAAAATGGTATCGCTTTCAATTAGAAAAAATAAATAGTCGTTTACCAAGACGTGAACAAGGTGAACGTGATGATCGTATACCTGATTTTATACCTGATAAATGGCAAGTTCAATTTCTTGATGCTGTTGATAAACGTCAATCAATTATTATCGTTGCACCGACTGCTTCCGGTTAGTTACTTTTGACTTATTCTTTTTGGATTAAATTTCTTTTATAATATTTAGGTAAAACTTATGCATCATATTATGCTATGGGAAAAGTACTTAAAGATAAAGATGATACAAATGGTATTTGTATATACGTAGCACCAACAAAAGCATTGATGAATCAAGTCGCAGGTAAATAAAATAATAGATTAATTAACGTCAACTTACTTTCATCTTCTCTGATCATAGGTACAATCCATTCAAAATTTGGTCCAGTATTTGGAATTTTTACACGAGATTATCGAATGAATTTACAGACATGTCGTATTCTAGTTACAATACCAGATTGTCTTGAAATGCTTCTTTTAGCACCTACATATCAACGTTGGTGTCAACGAATTCGTTATTGTATTTTTGATGAAATTCATTGTATGTCTGGTGATGTGGGTTCGGAAATTTGGGAACGAACAATGTTACTTATTAATTGTCCAATGATTGGTCTTTCAGCAACAGTTAATAATGGTCAAGTTTTATGTGATTGGATTTCAGGTGTTGAAAAACAACGATCCGTTCTATCTAAAACAACTCCACGTCAAGTTTGTCTTATTTCTCATCATGAACGTTTAGCAGATTTAAATAAATATTTATATTCCAATCGACAATTACATCCACTTCATCCTGTTAGTCTTATGAGTGGTAAACATTT